ATGGTGGATTGTTAACTTCACATTCAATAGCTACTCATATAATACTAATACAAATACGTTATATTCTACTAACATTTGCATAGTTACGGCTGATTTTCACTTTTTCTATATACTACAGATACGACAACATTTATGTTGTTCGATTGTAGTTCTATGTTCTCATGAAGGGAAAGTAATATATTCATGAGAATCAACATACGACGTGGGTAGTTGGTAAAGAAATCCTGATATAGTGAACAGTTTTATCACTGAACTGTTTCTCCAATTAAGTCAACTTCAAACTTATCAAGGTGGACGTGTTTACATTTTGTGATAATAAAAATAAATTGTTCAGAGCTAATTCGAAATTATTCATGTTCACTTCGTTATTTCTTTCTCTATCAAATTTTACTAGTAATGCAGTAAGTTCGTTTGGCTAACGAAGACGACTAGTTACTATTAGTCTAAGACTTCCCCACATGTGAATTTTGCGAAAGTGAACCAAGTACCACAATGAATGCAATGAACAGCAACATTTTTTATGGAAATTAAAGTACTTTGAAAAACTGTGCTTATATACTAATTTGAAAGTGAATTGTGGTTAGTGAAATGACGAATACTGTGAAACTTCTGACTAACTAAATATATCATTTAGGCCGGCTTTTTTCATTATTTCACCGCACACAAATCTTTCATTGACAGACCCATGTGAATTCAACAAAAACTGACATTGTAGTGAACGAGAACATGATTAAGGACAATCGAATGAAAGTGGACACGAAATTACAGAACATTTTAGTAAAATCTGAGAGCCATACAGTAAAAACTTAATTTCCAAATGTCAATCAACCGTCTCAGGCTTCACTGTTCTTTTATTTCCACACCAATCATTCTTTGTTCTCGTTCTCATTTATTCAATCTGCCGTCAGACATTTCACCTTCGACTGATTATGCATACTACTTATATATGTCGGCATCAGTAGAACAAAAAACAACGTAAATTTACACTTGAACAATTAAATAATTTTAAATAGATTTAACAAAGACGATGAATTATTAAAAGTCTTAGACTTGCCCACATATGAATTTTGAAAAAATGAACCAAGAACCACCATGAATGCAATGAACAGCAACATTTTTTCTGAAATTAAAGTAGTTAGAGAAATTGTGTTTATATACTCTTTAAAAAGTCAAAATTGGTTAGTGAAACGGCGTTTACTGTGTATCTTGTGACTAACTAAACGCTTCATATTACCGAGTTTTTCATAATTTAACAGAGCAAAATCTTTGATTGACGGATACGTGTGAATTCAACAAAAAATGACATAAATTGCCATTGGAATAAATAACAGTTGTAAATAAAATTAAAATTAAATGAGATCAGAAAAATGAATTATCTAGTTTCCTTGTCAACTAGTTTGTTCAAATTATCCAGTGTTTCCTCTCAAATAAGTGTGACGCTGTTACTCAGAAATTAGAAAACTATGCACCTTTAGTGAATGAAATATTTGGCATATTCATGAATTAAACTAGATAGTGTCTCATCTATAATAATAGTGCACAAACTGGTAGGTTGTTTGCAAGTATTTGATCCATTCACAGAAAAAGAAAACTCATGATTGTAGTGTAGACCTTAGATATTCATGATGATGTGACATATGTTTAAAGGTCTAAATGATACTTTGCATCTTTCACATCCCATGTTTATCTTCAAACATTCACGGTCTGAAAACAGATCACTCGAAAAATTGATGAAATAGTTGAAATAATTGCTCAGAAAATAACAATCAAAGTGTTTCCTGGAACGAATGCCTCGTAATAATTTGTAAACAAAATGCCAAACCAACAAAATAATTCATTTTTGAATTGGTTGTTTTAATTTTCTCATTGATGTTCAGGACTGTGATCGATCAGTCTCTTACTCATATATGTGCATCCTATGCGGAACTCCTCGATACTACATTAAGTCAAATACAGGTACATCCAGCTGACGAGTATCAAATAGAACGAAACGTGTGTCCAGTATTCCACTGCCAGCCACCATCTACCTCTAACAAAGTAATGGTTTTAAGTTGTGGTATTTGAAAAACTAAAATGTGATTTCAAATCTTTCTTAGCGAATTTATTATCTACTAAAATGTCACACAATTCGAATGAATGTACACTTTCTATATTTCGGCCATCATTGGTTTTTGTTTGACAGCTGGAGTAATACATTCTTCCCATATTACACGCCTTTCCTCTCATACTCAAAGTGTCGTGTATATTTAGCATGTGGTTCATAGACGAACTGAGAAAACCGAATCAAGCCTTCAATCAGAAAATCTATCAATAAAAGTTTATTCATGTGAAATTATCTTCCCATGCACGTTGTCTCCACAAAACTGAAAGATCTACCTATTAACAAATCACAGTAGCGAAATGTGTTGACTCGTTTAAAGATTAAGAATAAAGTATTCTCTTTCTATAAATAAGCACAATCCTTTCTTATTCATTTACATTTTAGCTTTCCTTTGAGTATACCAATAGGAATGGATGTAAATCGAGTTAAAAGACTGATGTTTTTTAATTGAAATTCTATAGACAAATGTCCTGAGAGGTGGAATCAATATGATAGATCAGGGTAGTTTCTCACTGGTTATACGACATATACACGAGGAGAGATCTTTTATTTTTCATGTAAAACGAGTAACTCATCGAATATAAGTTTAATTCCTTGTTGAAATATAAGTTACCATTACAGTGGTTTTCATGATGAACATATCGTTAGTGTAAATCGATTAGACAACAAACATTTCTAATTGAAACTCGACTGTCGGACGAGTCCTGTCCAGGGAGTATATTTGGTGTTACGTCCGTGTATATTTCCCAACACAATTCCAAATATGAGATGGGTATGGTGGATATTATTGTCATTTCAGTGGTCAAGTTCATGAGTCAGTTGAAGGTAGACCACCATGGAAAACCTGGAAGCACTGGATGGCCGTTTCGTCCTATTGTGGTACTCCCCAGCGGTGCCCGAACCCTGGAACTACTTGTTACACACGCGAGCACTTAACCACTAGATCACTGAGCCGGCATCCAATGGTGTTAATGTCTAAAATCAACTAATCCACGAAATTGAGCGACACATCAACATAACATTATCTTAACCATTGAAATTACTATAATATCCACAAAACCCATTTGATAATAATCAACATATGCTCACTAGTGACTGACCTCAACCAACAAATAATACATTTTTGTGTTGGTTGTTTGAATCTTCCCATTGATGTTCAGAACTGTGATCGATCATTCTCCTACTCACATATGTTTATCCTATGCCAATCACCTCGACCCTACATTAAGTCACAAGCAGGTACATCCAGCTGATGAGTATCAAACAGTACGAAACGTGCGTCCAGTATTCCACTGCCAGCCACCATCTAATTTTTGAGAAGGTAAAATGTCGTTTCAAAACTTTCCTAGTGAATTTATTATCTACTAAAATGTCACACAATTTGAGTAGACTCTTTTGAATGAATGTACATTTTCTATATTTTGGCCATCATTGAATAAAACAGATATTCACAGAATGACAAATAAATGAACATTTCGATACAAACAGATCAGCACCTCTGTAATACGTTGACAACAGATTACGGGTGGTGAATTTTTCAAAAAGACACATTAATTTATTATTTGATAAATGATTTCTCTTTAGATGTTGCCATCCATGTTACTCGAATAATCACTTAAATTGTAAATCACATTTTCATAAATTCATCAGTTTTACCCTAATACGATTGCAAATCAACAGTAAATCATGTATACATAATTCTCGATAATATTTTTTCTGTGTATTATATAATCAATGAAGTACATCAGTAATTATTATCGGCTTGTGAGATTCATTGAAAATCACTTTCAAATGTGAACATTAATATTGTAGTATCAGAATAACTTCAAATCTATGGGATAGTCTTTTATTTGTGATGGTTGAATCTCATTTTCTACAGTTGTATATGTATGCACAAATATACTTTAGTGAGACTTCGTTTTGTCTCCCAATGTCTACTCTTTTCTGCTACGATCAGTGATTACTTTTGTCGATAAAATGAGAGATAGAGATGCTTTGAGTACTGAACAGTTGACATTACAATGACATTTCATCAATGTTCACTGAAAAATTCTTATTTAAATGGATGAACATTACAACACACTATTTATGAAAAGATTTATCACGATTTTTCTTGATATAATAATAATAACTTGAGACGAAAAGGTGAACTAAGAATTTTTTCCCAAAATCAGCGTGATTGTTGTTGAATATCACTGAAGAGAATAAATGTTCACTTCAATCAGTCTTTGATGTTGCTACTTTGAGTCTTGGGAATTGTAGTGGTTCTTTGATTTTGGGTATAAGTAGTATGGCTACAAGGATATAATACTACTTAATAGTAGTCGAGTAAAATGTACATTCTTCGTCAGATAAATCATATAAGCGTAAACTACTGTATTATAACGGCTAATAAAAGTATTATATTTATGCGCATATGCCATTAATACATGCTGAGCAATTCACAAATGTATTGATTCTCGTATCTCATCGATAAAACTAAGGAATCAACTGGCATTCTAATTTGAACACGTAACAGTATATGTCTTCACGAAGTATGTAAATATAGATTGAAGAAAATATCTATTGTGTCGTGGCTGTTAGTTACGTATTATCCCTATTTGAATAACACTTTTCCTTGAAAGAGCGATATTATATTTCTGTGTTCCGATACAACTGAATTGTATTTGAGAAATTTGACCTAAGTGATTGAGTAAATTCAATACATTGTTTACTAAATTGGTGATTCATTCAGGAATGAATTTACTCAACGAAATGTAAGAAATATGCACTATAATCTACAGTTCATATGAAGATATTCACGAATGTGCTTGTCTCTCACTCCTTTCGCTTAATCTTCCTATATGTTCACCTACATTTATAAGAGACTTGATTCATACTAATGTGAATAAATCGTTTGTCCAGGTAGTAAGATTGTTTAATATTTTACGTGATTACAATATACTACTGATTAATTTACCAGTAGCTGGTGTAAAAACATAAAATTCACAGAAATGATGCTGTTCAATGTATAATTTATTACAGATGGAATAAAATCGAACAGATTGGAAATGTCTGAATGAGAAATCTTATTGCAAATCCATTTGTACTTGAACACAAATTTAGTTTCAAAAGGGTCACATTTTCCTCCTTATAAACAGTAAAACTACCAACACGGCGTGCTATTTGTCTCATTGATGGTAATGATGAAATCGACAATGCCTACCAAATATAAATTATTTGATAAATCGATGTAAAATAGAGTATACAGTACTAATACTGCTAACGTCCAATATGGAAAGAAGACCCGCACTTCTGATTTTCCAACAGTAAATTGACTGAAACAGATTGTTATCTGTTAGGAGAAATTTCAAAATGCACATGTCAGGAATTTCGACTAATGGAAAAACTGAATGTTAAAATACTCCACAAATAACATGCATATATTAACACTGAAAATATTACATTGCTGAAATGGGTCATTGAAACACAGATATATTTCCATGTGTAACCGTATAAGTAGTATTTTTAGTTATGCAAGTAAATGCAAATATATGTAACGGTAATTCATGTTTACGTTTAAGAGAACAATGTCTATTACTTAAATCTAGAAGAAAGAGTGAAGCATGATATTAAGTGAATGAATTTACTATTCACATTCACACTTCAACAAACTGCTACTATGTGCATACAGTAGCAAATTCTCTTATCATTCTAAACGACTGACTGTACAGTTGACCAATTAGGAAGACTAGTTATGCTGTGTATATAAATACATAAGTGCATGTTACTCACAAGAAATAATAATATGTCAGCACCTATATCGAGAGCGACCAGTGCAACCTAAAATCCAAAGAGAAGTTAACATTTAACAAATGGATATGAAGTAGACATTTATCAATATCAAAATGTGACTGAATCAAATGAATTGAACTGCATATGTAAGTAGAACTCATCTTTAAATTTCTGTAAACTCACACTTTTACTGTTTCAAAGAAGAATAATGCATCTCATGTAAAGGAAAGAATCGGTTTCACACAAATTATGGTGTGTGCTCGTTGTAAAAGTTAATCACAACTACTTTCCATTTATTGATGGATGAAAGACGTTTAGATGAAGACCGTGATTTCATCGTGTACAAGTATCATGTACAAAGTGTTATGGTCACGTCAGTGAAAATTAAAGAAGATTGTTGATTGAATATGTGAATGGAGGATGTATTATTGAGTATTCCTTGTTAATGAAATATGTATATCTTACACACAGAAGTATATTTGTAAAATCTTTTATTAATTATCCGACTTAGTTGAACGTAATCGATAACTCTTGAAAATTCTTTTAAATCAATCCTTTGTTCGTTATTTTCTCAAATCCGATTATTGACCTAGCTGAGATAATTATTATATAAGTATGTCACTTAGAAAACTCTTATGATTCTATGTACATAGATAAGTAAATGAATACAAATGCCTTCTGAAAATAAACCAGCTTCATAAGCGTTTATTTAAATTGAAAACGTGTGAGTAGACTCAGTATTCAAATGTCATCTACTGTGTATCGGGAGTATTGTCCAAGCCATCTGTGTTTGAAGTGTGTGTTTATTTTTCATGGATTTGCATGAAACAAGTGTTTATATCAATAATAAGTAGTTTGGTAATAAAACAGTTTCATTCATCGACATACCCAAAGCTTTAAAACATAAAATACAATCGCAGCTGCCACAAAAGCAGTGGAAAGAATCATTATATATATTAGAATTGACAGGAACTGATCAGCTAATCGTGTTCGGATTGCAGCTCCAATTAATATGGAACAAATAAAAGATATCAATGTGATTGCGATGGCAGTAACTTTCAAGTACATGCATAATTTTAAAACCGAAATTCCAATCGCTGTACCGATCCATATCGACTGAAATGTAACAGAATTCAATAAAAGTTAAATCATTGATCAGCGTTTAGTTAACTCCATACAGAAAGGTTCCTGTACAATATCTATCGTCATACATCATGTGTTTACTAGATTATGGTAAGAAAATGTTTACAAGACAGCTGATGTTTATTTCCTAATCTCAAATAGATTGTTTTAATTTTCATGATATCATTTCCCTGAGAACAATAATGACTTCCCTAATTCAAAAGTCGTTCCATATCTAAACAAAATAGGAAGACACGGACGTGTGTTCTTCCCACGTGAACATACATTTGAACAAAAGTATTCAGGAAATACATTACATAAAGTCATCCACCTTGTGACAACGTATGAACAGTCACCCTTGAAGTGTATATGTGTATATATTATCATTGTACAGTGTATTCCAACTGATATTTTCGTAGTGAGAAAGATACGAACCTACAAATTAAATCTCTATTCCACTTACATCATACTACAGTGGGAAAGTGTATGCATTTATAAAACTGTAAGTCCAGGAGTAGCATGTTGATTGGGCAGTTTTCATAAAGTAACACTATTCAATATTCCTAGATTGTGCATAAGTAATAAAGGCAAATAAATATGCAATTTTTCAAACATTTTTGTTTGTGAAGTGCAAAATCGATGGTTTGAATGATTTTTACAAGACAAATATAGATGGATGAAACAATGTGAGCCACTTCAATTCATGACCACTTACCGATATATTGGGAGTTACATTATAAATAATTTTTAATACAGTTTTTTCTCTCATCATATATACATCATTGCCTAATGAGAAGTTTAAGTGTTAAAGTAAGTGTATAGATATGGATTCATCTTGAAATATTTGTCCTGAGGATCATTGTTTACTGCATATTTGCTTTTTGATATCGGTAAAAATATGAGTGGAACTGAGTTCTCTCATATTTTGTTGCCTGACTTGTTTGATGTTCATAGATAGATTGTTCTTGAGATCGATAAGCAAGTTAGCTCTTTATACATACACTATGTCATAATAAGGAATCATATATTATATTCGTGAATGTAATCACATTCCTAGTTAAACACAAATTTTCATCGATATAGGGTTGTGGAGTTTATTAAGTTATTGATTGAGATCATGAACCGATTGAAAAACTGTTTAGCATTATTAGGGGACTCCTCAGCAGTGCGCACACATGATCCCACTCACAGGATTCGAACCCACCGCCTTCAGTCTCCCGCGCGAACGCTCAACCTACTAGACCACTGAACTTCCCAGCATCCAACGGTGATAATGTCTAACTTCAAACAATCCACAAAACTTAAAGATCATCTTCGATTGTACTGAGGTAGATACCTGTCTCTACCTAACACGGATTAGCTCCACTGGTCACGGCTATCTCACTAGAACTCCGAGAATTCCCTCATGATTTCAATCAATAACAAATTTTCATGTATTTAAAAAGTTCAATAACTGGTAAAGTAAATACAAAAATTGACAGTTCTTACGTAAATAACCAGAAGAAAAATATTCAATGGATGTTCATCTCTTATTTTTTGATAGAATATAATCAACATTGCTAATGCAAAAGCAGACCAACTACAAAATAGATCAAAATGAATTAGTGTAATATTTAAATGCCATTGTCATATGAATGTACTTCTAAACAAAGGTCAATCACACTGAATGAAACCACTTATTATTACAATATGATCGAATAGTTGAGATGAAGTTATTCAGATGATTCATTGTTCATGCCTGATATTAGACGAGAATATATAATGTTATCTTGGTCAATTATGAATGTTCCAGATATATTTTGATTACTGTCTTGTGTTTCTAAGTAGCTGTTCTATTCAATCTAAATGGTCTGATTGAATATAACTTTGACTGAGCGGTGATGACAACACTGAATAAAATGAGGCTTACAGTATAACAATAACATGTAGTTTAAAAAATTAAGACAAGCACCATACAATATAGAAAAGGTGAACTATGGTTTATTATGAATTGTAATATAGGTTATAGGATTGTTTTGAATGGCAAGGCTTATACGAATGGTAAAGTTATCGTTATTCAGATAGTATGCATGTCCGACTGTATATTTGACAATGAGTGACTGACCGCTAACAATAGTTTCCAAAACTCATTATTCGTGGATATTTCAATATTTCGAGTCAACACCAATCATCTTTTCATCAATGTCTTTGAAATACTTGAATTAAAGTAATAATAAGTTGATAATTTGAAACCAATTGATTGACCTTATGCCAAAACATCATTTAAGTGTGTCATGTTGTCCAAGTATCAGAATAAGAATGGATTACAAGCATACTAGGTCATATCATTCTCCTGTTAAATGAAAGATTCTATGCATATGCTGGATTGATATAATGACTTGATTCTAAATCTGTGTTAATGAAATGGTTAGCGAAGAGTTCTCTTTCCTTATTTTATGTCTGAATGGGTATATTCCGTTTCATGGAATAGTTATCTCTCCTTTACAGGCCCTTCTTCGTTATGAATGTCAACCAGCATCGAACTTGATTCGATATCACTAAATGAAATGCATCAAACAATCTTATAATAAATATCATGTAATACGTTTACACAACTCAAAACCTGATTGTCAAGTTATGTAACACTTAGACAATTCAATGACATTCACAAATAAGATGAAGGAACTCACTTTTACTAAAATATCAATCACAGATTAATGTTTAATATTAAAAATGTGAATGGAATATAGAGTGAGAAATGACATAAAAGATGTTCAGTAGTACATCATTGAATGGTTTTATGTGATGACCATGCTATGAAATGTGAGTATAATGCTTTTTAAAGTTAGTTCAATTCCAGATGTGCATTACTGATCACTCACATCCGCCGACAAATGTAATGTGGGATTCAAAACGTGCGTTTGGTTCTATTTGAGACTCGTCAGCTTGATGTACTTGCATAAGACTTAAGGCAGAATCGAGGTGATCCACATAAGATCTACATATCTGAAAAAAAGACTGATCGATAACAGTCCTGAACATATGATGACATATGTTTATGACTTTATAGCTGAGCACACAGACGAATGCAATAAGCAAACTTTCGGAAAATTTGATTAGAATTTCTATCATTACATTTAACTCAACAGTTGATGATAATGATAAGATTACAATAATAGAAAACGTACGCCAATACCCAAAGAAAAACTGTCCATGAATTCCATAGATATCCAGCTATGAATCTACAAAATATTTACTCTCATATGGCTTATTGAATAACTTACAGGATTGATAAGATCATGATAATCAACAGAGTAATAGCTATCTCAATTGAGAGAAGTATGAAAACCTGAAATCAATAAAGAACTAAGAGTATTCACTGTATCGTTACCTCTTTCGTATAATATGGTATAATAGAACTATTACTGATGTTATATATATTTGTAGTTATACTTCTTGATTTGTACTTCCATGAACTATCGTAGACATCAGGAAGCATTTTGCGTCAGTGTATCTAGTAATAGGAATAATATGATACCATTTTTTTAAAACATGTTCAAAGACATAAATATAATATCAGATGTGTTTTGTGGATATTATAGTATTTTCAATGGTGGAGTTCAACCAAATATGTTGTGACAATGGCGGATGTGTCGCTCAATTTCGTGGATTAGTTGAAGTTAGATATTAACACAGTTGGATACCAGTTAAGTGCTCGAGCACGAAACCAGTAGGTCCTGGGTTCGAATCTCACGGGGGCCGGGGTCGTGTGTGCGCACTGCTGAGGAGCCCCGCGATTGTACGAAACGGCCGTCCAGTGCTTCTAGGTTTTCTATGGTGATCTAGCTTCAACTGAATCATGATCTTAACCATTGAAATTAATATAAATATAAGACGATAAGTTATAAAACATTAAATCATTTGTATGTGATCACTATATATCATACGACGCAGTCGGAGTTCCAACACATGTATTATATATGATTAGCTCTATGTTCTTAAGTTGCATTTATAATTAGTTTATATCGTAAAAGTAGATGATTATTTGGTAATAACTGATCACTGTAAATTTTTCCTTGTTGAAAAAATGGTTACCATAGGTCCTTAAGAATTCGACTTTCTTGATTGATAACCATAAATATTACGAGCTCCTTAGTATGTTTCTATTGTAACAATGATTGGTCATTAAAGTTCTATTTCTCACAAATTTTAAACTGGAAATAGTAATCAAGAAAACAAACGGTAAAGCCATAAAGAAGAATATCTAGTTACAATTGTATGATATGAACTACTAATATACTCAGAGTATATTCCCCATACTGTAGGATTCTTTTTTACATGTGGAAATAATCTCTTACATATGAATCGGTAACAAATAATTTAACGCACAGAATATTGAATGGTAAGGAAGTTCTAAGTATAAGCACATCTGAATGTACTCTTTAGTTGATATGTTAAATACTACTAACATAAATCCGTCTGGAGCCCCTCTGGAGCTACTGCCGGCTCCAAGCCCAAATAAAGAAGGAGGCTTGAGCATGAGGTTAGCGAACCCATCCTGTAGAAAACCAACTCGCTAAGAATATGATAACCAGAAATAATATACTGATAATATTAGTATTTTTTCGTTTCCCGAATCGCAGTACGAGCAAGAACAGAAGACTGAATAAAATTTGATACTTGGCTTGTTCGTTGATTGTATTGAAGTATGTTAATTTAATAGAAAAAACACTGAATAATTAACTAATATTAGTAGTTAAGATTATGAGTCAATTGATGCTAGGTCATCAAGGAAAACCTGAAAGCAGAATACGGTCGTTTCGTCCTATTGTAGAACTCCTCAGCAGTGTGCATGTAATATCGCAAATCACAAGATCCGAACACAGGACCTATCAGTCTCGCGCGCGAGTTCAGTAAATAGTTGGCCATATATCATTAGATAGTATTCATTCAATCAGTATAGGGTGCATGATTTCTCCTCTATGAAAATATGGAGAATCATGGTTCATGGAATTTAGAAAAAGTAATTTAAAGTAGATGTGATCCATCATTACTTACTTGACAAATTACAGAAATGTTCATATATATCACAGTCCTATTCGGTTTATTTATGTTACCACGTATATTAGATTATTCAAACAGATGGAAACAAAATCTTCTTACAATTCTATTGAGTAATGAAACATCAAACTGCAAATTGGTTAATTCGATAAAACTAACCGTTTGTTTGGGTGTGTGTGTATTTTTTTTTTGTGAATGGATGGTAAACATGGTATCTCTTATTGATATCTCTTATATACAAGATTCAATCTGCAATTTAGTTTAACTGGTAATTAGAAGAACTATGAACTATTTAATTGTTTTTTTGTTTTTTAGTACTAATTGTAATCTAACTTACATAGTTCATCCTATTAATGATTATTGTTTTCTGTTTGATGTGTAATGAACCTTTCCGGTAATCTTCAATGGATGTGCTATTCATGTCTTAATCAACCATCAATTGTGTTTTATAGATCATTTTGTAGTTTATTTTGATAAATTACTTACTTACTTACTTACTTACGCCTGTTACTCCTAATGGAGCATAGGTCGCAGACCAGCATTTTGATAAATGCATAGATTTTATTATTATACACTTTATGCGTAAATCTTCCATAAAGATTTAGGTCTTCAATGGATTCGATGATTATGAATCATTAGTTCTACTACATTATGCCTATTAGTCTCATAATCTATTCAGGTGCATTTGTGAGAAGCTTACAACATTTCGCTATAGATTTTACAAAATAGCCCATTCAAAGATATCGTGGTTGTTGGCAATATTCATTATTCAGATATCTATTTCTGGATCGTTAACATTTAACTAGAGGCCACTCAATATTTATGGCAAAGATCGATCACGAAATGAAAAAAAGGATGAACTTCTTGAATTACTTTGTGATGATAATTGAACAATAACAATTAAGGTACAATAGAATGAGTGGTTTTATTATCAGCTGTTAACAACCATATTTATAATCAAGTGTAATATTAAGATATGATACAACATGATGTAATAAACACTGATGACCAAGAGAATTTGAACAATAATTATTATGAATTGTAACTGTAAATAACATTGAGTAAACAAGTCGAGATCATTTAGAGATAGAATTTGTAAGAAGAAAACAGTGCTTGAGGCAGTATTTAAATGATGTCCGGGAACTGATAAGATTACAGTTTTAAGGCTGTTTCGGATCAATATCTATAGTTCCCAGAAACTATTCATGAACGGTTTTAACAAATGTATTCTTACTGCATAACTACTAAGTGTCTTGATTATGTATATACACATTTCTCTTATCATAAGCTTTCATTTGATCTATTCCCTACTGGTCAAACATTGATGCTCAAACCGAAGAATATTTTGTATAGTGTCCTGCATGTGCAAAAGCCGTCAAAACCCCTTTGAAAGACGGAAATACAACTTTGGAGAGCTCTGACAAATCCATGGTCAAGAAGGTACGTGAATTTTGCCAGCCGCAGAAAAGGGAAAACAGTTCTTAGTAATTGTTAATGCTTTCTCCGAATGGCCAGGATTTCACTTCGTGAAGTCTGTATCAATGAAAGCTACTGTGGGAAAATTGACACAGGTATTCAGCTGTTTTGCGTGTTCCAATGTATTTGTACGAGAGAATGGATCTTAGCCTATCTTTGAGGAATTTTCCAAGATTTACATCATCAATACCGTTAAGCATATCAAAACACCACATACCATCCGCAGTCTAACTGAAAAGGAATGAGAAAGAATGTAGCGCAACGACGTTTGCTAATCTACCGCGCAATGCCGAACCCAGTAACAATTATTGAATAAAGCACAGTGGAAACAATGTTTCGAAGGGAAAGTTGAATACTAACAGAACAAATAAAACCTAAAACTAAAAGTAGACTCTACATGAACAAACGAGTGCAAGTATATGTAATATTAGGAAAAAAAGAAGACATTTCTACCAGGTTATCAAGGATGGAAAACAAAAATGTACGGCGGGACTATAATCTATGGACGAACCAATCAGAAGCGTTTGAGAGATTTCACGGTCACGGCGCCAATTTCAGTACCTGATGTTCACGTACGATCAGTTCACAACGGATTTTAGAAAAGACATAATAAGTGAGCGGCAACAACAAATAGGACTACAAAGAAGTTACTTTATTTATGGCTGGGGTAATCAAATAACTTATGGATCTTGTGCAAAATACAGTGATGATGTTATCTTTCGATGGAATATATGTTGGAGGAGGTCTGCTAGAAGAGGAACTTTTTTCCCTCGATCCAGATTGAGACTAAGACAAATTATGATATTGGTCGCGAAATGAATGATAAAAGCACCACTAACACTGACTGCAACATTTTTAGATGTTACTGAAGCTTCGGCCGTTATGTGGTATGAGTATTGTCCCTCAGATTCTGTATGATTCTTCCACTTCACAATTCCCTTCTATTTCAATTCCTGTTTTCTTCAACTCAATCTTCTTAGCCTTCTGTTACCAGGCATTCCTCTTCTGATTGATGTGACATGCAATTTATGTTGAAAGATATATGTAGCATACACCACACTACTAGCGCTATCTGGATAAATAAGAATAATACTTTTTCATTAGTATACTTTATTGTATGAAGACTGAGTGAGTTTTGATACTTCTCTAACTAATATCTTTTTAGAAATTTAGAGAACAGAAATAACCTATATACATCGATTCGAACCGAGAAGTTATCTGATTGACAGCTAATATTCTCAGTATGCTTGGTCAATTTTTATCATTAGACAGTGGTGTAAATTTTATTAAACGATTGAATAATCGACGACTGATCTTGTTTATCCCATCCAGTATTTAAATAATGCAAAGTAACATCGGCATATTTGATTGAAACAACGAAATAATGATTTTGAACGGTTTTGGTTGGTAAGAAATATGTTTGGGCTACGATGGATTGAACATATCGATAAAGGTCAACGGTAAACTTTTATTTAAATAACTAATTGACTCGAGATTGTGGAGATTTGTAGCTCGGTTGAATAATTTTGAGAGAGTTTTGTTCTTTGATCTGGATTGTTTATTTGCGGAGCTTTCATCTTTCTTCTAGACGACATCATCAGCACAAACTTCAGGTAGAAGAAAACTTCTATAATGACAGATAGACCAACTTACAATTTATCCAGTGTTATAACTTCAAAAAATAAAATTGACAAATGTACCACTAAGATATTGATTGTAAGGTGTCATTTATTGCAATAATCTTCTAAAGAAATTCGATCAAGCTGTACGCACAAGTGATATGTTTGTCTGTTAGCTTTTCTAGCAACAAATTGTTTGAAATACATCAGAGGAATCATCATCATTACCAAACCATTAAACGTAAGTCGTGCAATTACAATCATGGAATAGAGAACAACACTTGATCTTAAAACACTAAGATAGGTCCCACAAGTTGCTTCGTCATTTAAATCCAGGGAATAGTGTATATGCAACAATGTAACTTGTTGTTAGCTAAATCCAAAAGTACAGAAGATATTTAATTAGACAATAGTTAAATGTATTTGAAAACAATGTTGTCAATCTTTGGTGTAGATTATTAATAGTGTAACGTTACCCTCCACTGTTTACGAACAGAGATCAACGTTTTAATTTTGTTGGAACCTCCAGTGTTTAAAAATTCACAAATACTTCATAACGTTCATGTCGTTTTAAATGCTTTTTGATTATGACATTGTAGGTTATGTATTTCTCATTCTAATACGGTGTCTAATACAGTCTTTTGATCTATAAAATTTAAAAGAAACAGGTATTTCCAAAAATAAAATGATTAATAAATATTGCTATAA